TTTATCAGCCTTTCCTGAGAATGAAATTGATGCGTTGGTGGACTCTGATTTTGTAAATTGGTACAAGTATCAGGTATATATACACACACATTAATTATATATATTACCTAATGTTTACCTAATGTTATTATTATGTTTATATTTACAGATCAATAGTCGTGGGATTGTCGACCCTTTGTTAGTATCATTAGCGTGGGGCCCAGGTGCCAGTGCCAAAGTGTGGCGGCAATATGTGATAAACGGTTACACATATCACACAGTCGATTACGGAGAGGGCCGACCAACAACGAACAGCGGGTTATGTGTCCCGACCATCGGTTATGATAACTCGGAAACCAATTTTTTTGGTGTCCTGCAGGAGATTCTGGAACTTGAGATGCCTTCTAGTGCGAAAAAAATGACATGCGTTCTGTTCCGCTGCACATGGGTTGATCCCACACGTGGCGTGCGAAAAAATCCGAAGTATAATATGATTGACGTCAACCACTCTCGTGTGTACCCGAAAAATGAGCCTTTCATACTCGCCCAACAAGCAGCGCAGATTTATTATGCACAATATCCTACAACAAGGCGGACCCAGAATCCTTGGGTGTGTGCATGTCCTGTCCGTCCGAACAAAATTAAATCACAAACTCAACACAAGGACGTTGATCTAGATGCTTTTCAGCAACAATTTTTCCAACCTCCGCCTATTGTTGAGACGGTCAACTATAACGTCCAATTAAGTGATCCAAATGGCGGACGTGTTGAAGTCATGCCAGAAACGCACCTTCCGGACCTAACCATTCCATCTGAGCGCGAAATTGAGGAAATGTATGTAGCACAACAAAATGCTCAATATCAGGAAGAAGGTGAATGGATAGACGGTTCAGATACAGAAGAAGACACTATATATGTAGAAAATAACGATTCTGACAGCGAGTAATTGTGCTGTTGTAATTTCAATTTTGTGATATAATTTCTCCAAGCATATTTGATAATTTCTTTCATCATTATTGTTTGTAAAATAATTACTCCTTAATCTGTTCTATACCACATAAATTCAAAGCAGTTTATTTAATACTCCACAGTCCACACTACAATTACGATGGTATTATAATATTATAATAGTAATATAAACACAATTAATATATACACAATTAATATTATTATAACGATATAATAATAATAATAAGAATAATAATAATTATTATTATTAATAATAATAAATCATGTCTGAATTTTTCTGATCTGATCTGATTTGAATAAAATAAAAATAAACAATAAGTAATAACTAACACAAAGACGAACAGAACCACACCTTATTCATTTTTCGGTTCAATAAGTTGTGTACATAGTTTCAGACGACACATTCTTGTACGCATCATATCTCAGTCAATTGGTTCTTTATTAGTCATTTTTTAGCATAAAATGCTTGGGTGACAGGAAAATGAAATTATAAATTAAATAGTCACGGTTGTAGTCACGGTCAGGACCGTGACTACACCCTTCGTAAATGCCGAAGTCAGGCCTGACGGTCAGAGGGGCGCTGACCGGAATAGTCACGGTCATTACCGTGACTATGACCGTGACTATTTTCAAAATTTGAAAATAGTCACGGTCATAGTCACGGTAATGACCGTGACTATTCCGATTAAAGGCGGCTCTGACCGCGTCGCTGACATCGTCAATTACGAAGGGTTTAGTCACGGTCCTGACCGTGACTATGACCGTGACTAAACAATTATATAAAACAAACACTTAGCGTTTTTTTAAAAAATCCTACGCACCATATCTCAAACCCTAAACCACCTCTTCCTTCTCTCTTCCTTCTCTTCCAGTGCCGCCGCCGTCGCCGCCTAGCATCTGCCGTCGCCGCCGTCGCCACCTAGCATCCGCCGTGACCGTCGTCTACAACCAGTAGTCCGCCGTCGTCCGCCGCCTTCCGTCGCCGCCCCTTCTTTTCTCAGTCAAGGTTATGTGTTCTTTTCATCTTATTTGTAATATTTGATTAAAATTCCAAAAATGCATGATTGTATACTCAAATCCATGATTAAGATGCATGATTTTTAGTTTCATATCATTTTGTAATCTTCAAAAGTTATATGTATGATTTATTATATGCATGAGTTGTAGTTTTGCATGTTAATTTCATTTTATATGTTTTGTATCCATGATTAATATATGTTCAAATGTAGATTATTTTATGTTTATCATATGTTCATATGCATGATTAACATATTTTCGAACTAATGCGTTTCATATAATATATTTTCGAATTAATATAATATGTTTAATATTATATGTTTCATATGCATGATATGATTTATATGTTTTGTATGCATGATAATTATGTTTAAATGATTTAAATTATTATATGTGTAATATATGTTCATATGCATGATTAATAATATTTAATATATATGATTAGTGTGTGATATGCATGCCTCAATATGGTTAACCCGAAATATTTAAAAAAAAATTGCCCCCTCATGTTAAGCTTTCACAAACTTAACATGTTTAATTCTAATTTAACAAATTTTTATAAACAAATTTTATAAAAAGTATACAAATTATTTTATAAACAGTTTCGATAAACAGTTTTTATAAACAGTTTTTAAAATTTTGCAAATTTTTATAAACAGTTTCTATAAACAGTTTTTATAAACAGTTTTTATAAATATAAAAAGTAAAAATTGGATACAAAATGGTAAATAAACAGTTTTTATAAAAACTGTTTAATAAATAAAACAGTTTTGTAAAAACTGTTTTTATAAAAACAATTTTGAATGAAAATTTAGTTCACTTAAAAACTGTTCTATATAAAAACAGATTTTGTAAAAACAGTTCTTATAAAAAATGCAGTGTTTTTAAAAACTGTTTTGAATGAAAATTTATTTTACTTAAAAACTGTTATTGTAATTTAATTAAAAACTGTTTATATAAAACCTGTTTATATAAAAACTGTTTATATAAAAACTGTGTTATATAATCTGTTTTTGTAATTTAACTAAAAAAGTATAAAACTGTTATTTAGACATTATAAAAAACGTTTTTTTGTATAAACTTAAACTATACTGTTTTTCTAGAAAAACAGTTTGTATAAAAACTGTTTTTTTATTTAAAAAGTGTATAAAAACTTTTTTTTATAAACTGTTTTTGAAAAAAAAAGTATACTGTTTCTAGGAAACAGTTTGTATAAAAACTGTTTTTTATTTAAAAAGTGTATTAAAACTCTTTTTTATAAACTGTTTTTGAAAAACTGTTTATAAAAATTGTATAAAATTCATGTATCTTAAACACCAAAAAAAAGATGGCCTCTCATGTAAACTTTGCAAAAAGTTTAACATGTTACTTACAATTGTAAATGTGTATAAAACAGATAAAAAAATGGCCTCTCATACAAACTGATATGACTGATAAAAAAAAAGATGGCCTCTCATATAAATTGATATATCGAAAACATAAAAAAATGATCTCCTCTCATGTAAACTTTGTAAAAAGTTTAACATGTTACCTCCAAGTGCAATTTATTACCAAATTATTTAAGAACTTATTATGAAAAAATATGGACCCCTCATATTAAACTAAAAATAGTTTAATATGCTATACACATTTTCAATTAATAATACTTGTATAAATTTTTATAGTGAAAAATAATAAATATACCCCAAACTTTAAAATAATAAATATACCCCAAATTTTTATAGTGAAAAATAATAAACTGTGTATAAGTTTAATATGAGTGGTTCAATAATTTCTAATAAACTCATCCTATAATTTATCAATGAGTTGACCCAGTCGATCGAAGAATCGATCAGTTGGAGCTTGTCAATGAGTTGACCTAGTCAATTCTTAGATAAGCTCCAATCTGTGGATTCTTCTGGCTACGGCTTGAGTCATCGATGGACTCTCCCAAACGCATGTACTGACATTATGTCGCTACATGTGATGTAGCCCATCCATGGTTCAAGGCGTAGCCTGAAGAATCGTCAGGATGGAGTTTATCAATGAGTCGACTGGGTCAACTCATTGATGAGCTCCAACCGGTTGACTCTTCGGTCGACTGTGTCAACTCATTAATAATTATAGGATTTGTTTATTAGCAATTATTGGAACCTAATATTAAACTTATACCCAGTTTAATATGTTATATACATTGACAATAGACAATACTTACATAAAAATTTGATCTTCTATTATAAGAGTTCTAACAAAAAACAAATTAAATTAATATATTTTAGATGAGCAACGAACAATCGACCTCAGCTCCCCGACCTAACTATGCGCCCATGTCCGAAGCGGAGCGCAACAACGAAGGAGCTGTTTGGGTGACCCCTGCAGATGTTGCTTTGTAAGTAGTTATGATCAAACCTTATTTTCAATAATTTTAAATAATGTTAAATAATCTGACCAAATGTTATATAAATAAATACTATTAATTTTTTTAAGTGACGAACAAGTGTTCAAAGGCATCAAAAGCATAATCGGAGGACACTTTCTTGGCACTTGGGCCACGTACTCGGATGTTGACCCCAAGATTCGCGAACTATGGTGGAACCTGTTCAAGGTAAAAATAAATGAATGTTCCCTCCCTTATTGTATTGGCCTAATATATACCTAGTGATTAATTAATTCAATTTGTTTTAATAAAGGCTCGCTATCGTTGGACTCACGCAAACGGTCCTGATATTCTTAGAGCCTTCAATGCTAGGATTTCGACCTGGCTTCGCGCCACTTTTAAGCGTGCCCGGAAAAGTGCGAAAAAGCCTAAATGGGTTTCGGATGAAGTGTGGTCCAACCTTTGTCGCCACTGGTCTTCTGATCCGAAATTCTTGGCCAGAAGTGAATCCGGTAAGAAAAACCGGATGTCCGAGAAGGCCTTGGAGATGCAGTGGCACGGAGGTCGCAAATCTCAGAATGCCCATAAAGAAACTCTTGTAAGTGCTATTCAAAAAACCTTACACCATCACAGTCCTTCATTATAAAAAATTTACTTAAGTCTTTTTCACACCATTTAGGCTGGTCCCGAGAAGAAGAGGGTTGATGTTCTCCGGCTCGTCAAGCATTGCTGGACGAAGCACGGCGAGGAATCTGAAGCCGATCTGCCACCCCGCCTCGCTGACTTCGAAGTATGTAACATCATATGTTGTTATTTAGTAACATTTCAAATCTAACCATGTAGCATTTAAAAAATATTTTTTAAAAATGCAGACGAAGTACAACGAATCCGTTGACAGGCAGCGTGCGGCACGAGGCTTGACCCAGGAGGACGACCTCGATTCCGATGCGGATGATGAGGCGGCCATTGAGGCGGCCGGGGTTTACAAGGGCCGGGTTCCATGCTTGGGGGCCGAGGGGCAACGGATTTTGTATGATCGAAGCACCGGCGCTTCCTCTTCTCGGTCAAGGCGGGGAGAAGATCCCCGTATTGCTACAATGCAGCGTGAACTAGAGGAGCACGAACGGCGATGGGAGGAGCAGCGGAAAGCAGATGCTGCCACAAAAGCCCGGTTGGAGGAGATGGAACGGTACATGCGTGCCGGATTCCAGCCTCCGCAACAGCCTTTTCCTCCCCCGTACGTATTCCACCCTGAGCAAACTCCTCAAGTTCCGCACATGGGCGGTATGGGATTTTTCCCCAACTCCGGATATGGTGGCATGCCTATGATCTCCCCGAATTTCGGTTCTATGTCCTTTGATTTTGCGAGGTCATCCGGAGGAGGTAGTGGCACACCGAGCCACGGAGGCCGAGGAGCACCCCGAGGAGGACCCCGAGGAGCACCCCGAGGAGGAACCCGACCTGACCCTGAAGACCCCCCCGTGAACCCAGATGAGTTTCTTGTTGATGATGATGATGAAGAAGAAGAAGAAGAAAATCCAGATTTTTTTCATAATGGAGTCCCACGAAGGGACATGTAATCATCATACATTTGTACTTTGTTGTTTGTCAAAACATTTAAAAGTTTGTCACAATATTTATTAAGTTTGTTGTATGTCTTTACTCTTTAAAATGTAATTTTAAATTTAAAAAATTAGAATAATATTTTCAATAATTCAATAGTATAAAAACATGGATAAAAATTAGAATAACATTTTTAAATTTAATTTGTAAAAATACGTGTTAAAAAGTAATTTTTAAAAACAACTTTCATAAAAAAATGGAAAATTTTTTTTTACAAAACAAAAATAGTAGTCACGGCCATATCCGTGACTACAGTTAATTCGAAATTATTATTTGTTTTTAATAAAAAAAATTATTTTTTTTAAAAAAAAAAACTTAGTCACGGTCGACAACCGTGACTAATTTCAAAATTTTAGATTACACCCGCGGGCGGTCTTTTGAAAATTTTGAAAATTTTAAAACTTAGTCACGGCCCACAGCCGTGACTAATATTTATTTTTAAAAAAAAAAATTATAGTCACGGTCACAAGCCGTGACTAACATGTCGGAGTGGGGTTTCCGGCATCAAATTAGTCACGGTCGTTGACCGTGACTAATCCGTGACTAAATTTAGTCACGGTTATGTGGCGGTGACTTCATTTAGTCACGCCAATTAAGACACGGATTTAGTCACGGCGGATGACCGTGACTAAACTTTTTAGTCACGGAAATTTTACACTGCAGTCCGTGACTAAATCCGTGACTACGCCCGTGTTTTTTTGTAGTGTAAAAAAAATCTAAAAATAATTTGAGTGTGGACAGGGATCTGTTTTCTTTATCGTCAGTCAAGTATCGTAAATCGAATTGTCCCAAACTTAGTGGGATAGAGGTATTATGATTTAGAACATGTACAACTATACAAGAGGTCATCACATTGGATAAAACCTCACACTATCGTTGCCCATGATTGAACTTGAGAAATCATCCAAACTGCTTACTCAACCTCACACTATCGTTGCCCATGATTGAACTTGAGAAATCAACCAAACTGCTTACTCAACCACGGTTGCACTACAAGTAGAGTTTCAATTTTCAATCATTTAATGGTGTTCGTAAAAGTACTGCTATACTTCAATATGGTGTAAAGTTGAACATTCTAATAGTAACTATAGACCTATAGTTACTATAAAAATATCAATAGCACACTCCTTTCTTTTATTTACACTGTAGTCATAAAATTGCCATAGTTGTGTTATATATATGAATAAAATAAAGAGAATTTACTTTAAATATGACTAAAAACGTTTGTAAATTCCAAAATAGGACTGTCATGTTTTTAATTCCCAAATGGGACTAATTACTGTCATATTTTGGCAGTACCAGACTTTAAACATGGCAGTATTTTCCAAACTTGACAGTAATTACTCCTATTTTGGAAATAAAAACATGACAATCCTATTTTGGAATTTTGACACGTTTTTGGTCCCATTTCGGAAACTTTCCCTAAAATAAATAAATGTATACACAGCAAATTCAATGTGTACGATCCATACATGCATAATTGGAGATTTTGATAACCTTTTCTTATTATTCATTAATCATATCATATTAATAATAAGCATTTATGAGTCTCAACCACATACCATAAAAAAACAATCTCAACCACTTCTATTCTTCTTCTCCCAACATCTTAATCTCTTCTTAGCAGAAGACTCAACTTCTCTATGTACTACCTCCGGTTTTTTTTAATCTTCACAGTTAGACTTCACACAAAATAAGGAAAGAAATTTGACTTTACTGTAGAGTACATTGTTGAGGCACTGTTTGACACTGTTTGGCACTGTAGAGACACTGTTTGACACTGTTGAGACACTATTCGGCACTGTTTGGCACTGTTTTGATGTAGATTTCTTTTGTAAAAATACGTGTTAAAAAGTAATTTTTAAAAACAACTTTCATAAAAAAATGGAAAATTTTTTTTTACAAAACAAAAATAGTAGTCACGGCCATATCCGTGACTACAGTTAATTCGAAATTATTATTTGTTTTTAATAAAAAAAATTATTTTTTTAAAAAAAAAAAAAACTTAGTCACGGTCGACAACCGTGACTAATTTCAAAATTTTAGATTACACCCGCGGGCGGTCTTTTGAAAATTTTGAAAATTTTAAAACTTAGTCACGGCCCACAGCCGTGACTAATATTTATTTTAAAAAAAAAAAAATTATAGTCACGGTCACAAGCCGTGACTAACATGTCGGAGTGGGGTTTCCGGCATCAAATTAGTCACGGTCGTTGACCGTGACTAATCCGTGACTAAATTTAGTCACGGTTATGTGGCGGTGACTTCATTTAGTCACGCCAATTAAGACACGGATTTAGTCACGGCGGATGACCGTGACTAAACTTTTTAGTCACGGAAATTTTACACTGCAGTCCGTGACTAAATCCGTGACTACGCCCGTGTTTTTTTGTAGTGTAATAGAAATAAGCAATGGAATTGAACATAAGCTAGACATGAAGTATCAAAAGTTAAGCATCATCGGGAATGATGGTGGTTAAACTAGTTTACTCATTCCAAATTTAAGTTAAAACAATATTGAAATGAATTCTTGAGAATAACTGCGTAATTAAAAACTATTTAAAACACCGGTATATAAAGTGTAATGTGTGGAACCATAGATGCAATTTGAAGGAAGAGCAGAATTTACAAACGAGTAAGCCACTCCGTCAAACTGGTACGTTAGATGGCTGGCACCAAACACATGTTATATAGTTTGATGACTCGGATTATTACAATAATAGCTAAAATTTCTAAATTTAGTGACAAAATCAAACAAAATAACTACTTTACTAGTACCAATACCATAAAATTAATTATCTTATGTATCTATCATACAATCCATACAATACCAATAATATAGCAATATTAACCCACAATTTTAAAATTATAATTATTAATCATAAGTTTTAAGTATTTAACTTTACATGTTTGATCACTTCAATCACATGTATAAAAAATCATTTTGGAATATACCCCAAATTCTAAGTAAAAAATCCAAGGTGTTGAATTCAATGACTCATAATAATCTTATGAGCTTATCCCAGTATTTTAGCCCACACCCTCCATTCTATTTGCGTATTTTATTTATGGACTAAAGACTAATCAGACAAAATTAATAAGAGATTAAGAGAAGGAAAAAAAACTCAAAGATGAGAAAAATAGAGCCAGGCAGGTCGGCGGTGATGTGAATGGCAAATCTGTGGCCTCTCAAGTTCCTCAATTGTGCTGCGTCTGGATGCGTGATCTTCTAGGCCAAGAAGGCTAATTTGGTTTTCCAATTATTCAATTATATATTACTCTTACTCTTAGTACACATAATACTAAAATTTTATTTTTTGAGGCCCCTTCACATGTGAGGCCCTAGGCAAGAGCCTGGCAAACTCCCCCCAAATCCGCTTCTGAATTTGAAAAAAAAAAAGAATAAAAAACGTGTTGGCCGGTCATGTTTAATGCAGGGAACCTGCAGCAAATACAGGATGGAGAACCTAGGTAGGATTGTGGAAACGGAAAATGAAAAACACAAAATGTAAATATCATGCTTTTTATACGAAGTGCGTGGTATCAATTTGGGGATTTTTCCATAATTCCATTTGTTTGTATCAATGTCATTTTATTTAATTTGAACTTAGGGAAAATTATTATTAGTCCCCTGAGGTTATATCATAATCATTAATGCAATCTTGCATTTTCAAAAATCAATTAGTTACCCCCAATGTTTTTATCATTCTCACTATATACCCCTCACGTTAATATTTGTTAAATAAAATTTAATGTACCTCTTAAATTCAATTAAAGTTGTACATATATAAGATTAATTTTTAAAATATAATACAATTTATTATCATAATTACATGTCATTGTTGATGATTATTTGTTTTCCTACTTAACTACTCGATCATGGAGTAACTATTAATGAGAGTAGTTAAGGGGAAGACTCACGAGTCCTATTCATCACAGGATACATAAAAAGAATTGTTTATAAAATGTATTATCAAAATTCTTGGCACTTCTTCATTAAGAATATAAAAGTCTTATTTGTAATTCATTCGGTTGAATTAATCACAATGACATTTCTTTCATGTGTAGCAAAGAAGAAATACCAAGATTTTTTAATATCATTCCATGACCTAAAAGATAGGTTTAGTAATAATAAGGGACTTAAAAGTTAAAATGTGTGATGATTATTCCAATTATTCCATTATCTGAATAATTGAAAGCTATCAATCTAAGACCTAAAATATCTTAGATTTTAATTATTTAAATTTTTTATTAACTCTGTTACTAATTTTTGATGATCTTATCTTTTCTAAAGTTTTTTTGATTGTAAAAAGTTTATTACTTTTATAAGATTAAATGATATATATATTTTTAAAATAAAAATATTAAAAATTCATGATATGTTTATATCTTACTCATGAGTACTTTCTCTTAATTTCTCTCAATAATATTTATTCCACGATGGAGTAGCTAAGTAAAAAAATAACGGTCAAAAACCATGACTTATAATAATGATAATAATTTGTGTTTCACATTAAAAATTAATTTTATAGACATTTTTCATTGAATTTAATTAAGAATTATATTAAATTTAAATTTAACAAATATTAACGTGAAAGGGCAAAGAACGAGAATGATCAAAACTCAGGGGGTAACTAATTGATTTTTGAAAATGCAAGGTTGCATTAATAATTATGACATAACCTCAGAGGGTTAATAGTATATTTCCCTTGAACTTATTTTTGCATCCATTATATTTGTTACAAATTCATTCCCATGTCAATCTTATTAGAATTAATTACATATTCATGACTAAGATGAAGACTGTTTACAAAAACTTGATTAATGATTAGAGTAAAACGAAATCATAATAACATTAGAGTATATAG